TGTTGCATATTTAAAAATTCATTAAATACAAAAGGATCAAACGTCAATATATGTAGCCTATAAAAACAATACTCAATAAATAAAAGCTAATTATAACCATTTTCAAAAAATGAGGCTAATTACAACCATGCACTGTGGCCCCTGACAACTTTTCATAATTTTAGAAGATTGTATGATAACGTTATTGTATGATAATGTTATTAATAATGTTGTCAAAAATGTCTTTCTCTATATACGTAATTAAGTTAATAGTAATCAATTTCTGACTAAGTCGCATCAATTTTAAAAAACTACAATAATTTCAACCAATTATGAATAGTATAAGATTGAAATTTATCGAAAAAAATAGGTTCAATCACTAGTCGCAACTTTTTAACATATTTTCACATTTCTTTAAGTGAAAAATGTGCCCGATTATATTTTGCATAAGATTTAATTGGTCCAAATTTATTAGAATGGTCAAATATTTTTTGTTTTTAGTCATCAGAGTAGGCCTAATTTCAACTACCTAATAAAAAATCATAAAATATCCATAATCTGAGGCCGTAGTCTAGGATTTGATGGAAGATCTGCCAAATTAATGTATACATGACTTTTTTTTAAAGAATCACCACCTCTATTTGGAGGAAGTGATAACTCTAACTTAGACTTTCTCTTGAAGTACTTCTTCATGACTGTTTCAAAAAATTATTCAAGAAAATAGGTTTATATATCAACTTTTGCAATTAATTAAACAAACTATTTTGTCAATTTTATTTTTATCGCTACCATTCTAAAAAATATATTGTATTAGGAAGCAAATACAAGTACAAATGTATAAAAATATTCAATTCATAATTTTAATAAATTCAAGCAATATCATTCAAAACATTAAAATATGTTCGAATTGAGAGTTACCAAAAAATAGGTCGACTCCATAATCGTAACTCAAGGTCTTCAAGACATCCCTAATTACTAATTCAGGCTATAACAAATCAAGAAAATAACTATGACAAAATGCACAAAAAAAACAAATTAGTGAAAAATGCATAAAAATTTAAATAAGGGCAAAATGCANTCGAGTCAAAATGAATAAAAATAAAATAATAAATTATTTTATTTTTAATTAGGGGGTAAACTATATCCAATAGAATGAATATATCTAGGTTGTCAATTTTTGACATGACACGTTAACAAGACATGAACCTAACACGAAATTAATAGGTCAAATACAAAATTAAACGGGGTCAATGAGTAAAAACGGGTCAACACGTTTAAATATGAAAAAAATTATGTCGAGTTCATGTCAAAACCAAGTCAATCTGAATAACTTGTATATTTTAAACATATTGACATGATTCACACACGAACTCGACCTAACCAATTGTAATCCTGTTTATGGTAGTATAATTTGTCTATTATTTATATCTGATGTGGTCTTAACATTATTATTTATTAGTTATTACTTGTACTATGGTAATTGACAATATAGTTCTTAACATTATNGGGAACTGAGCTCAAGGAAGGACAAAAAGCTCAAGGAACTGAGTTGCCTTCTCGTGTGTTGACTGTTGAGCAGAGCTTCTCTCTATTTCTTCTTTTTTTCTTATGGTTGGGATGTGGGCAGCTGGATGGGAGTGAGGGAGACTAAGAGAGAAAAAAAAAAGGAAAGATAAGACAAGTTTTAGTCAAGTGGACCAAAAAATTTGTTTTTTAATAATGGGTGGGCCAAAAGTTATGTTTTTAATGTTGACAAAAAAAATTGTTTTTAATGTTGGGCTAAAAGTTTTATTTTTTTAATAGGTTTGGGTGGATTGTTATAGGTTAAATATTTAATTTTTTAAAAAGTTTTGGTAGATAATAGTGGACTCAATTTTTTGTTTTTATTTTAAATGAGTTTAATTTTTTAATTATTTTGGGTAAATAATGTGGGTTTAACTTTTTTATCTTGGATTTTGGGTGGACACAAATAATATACCATACAAATATATAATATATATACCTAACTAAATTTTCTTTTTTTGAGGGGGGACACGTGCCCACCTTGGCCCTAGCCTCCCTTTCGCCCTTGATTTGACCAACGAGCAAGGAGTGATTCCTCAAATAGATAATATCTAATTGTTAATAATTTTTTATTATAAATATATTACGTAATACTTAAATATAAGTAAAAATAATTTGGATAGTTGACCAAAATTTGGGTGGCTCTTGATAAAAAATGTGTAATATGGGTAGTTTTTAACCAAAATTTAGATAATTCATAATTAAAACTATGTAATTTGAGTAATTCTTTGACCAAAAATTAGGTAAAATTTTGGTCAATAATTATTCAAATAATTTTTTTGCCCATATCTAGGTATTACGTGACAGGTTATAATAAAAAATTATTAGCAATCTAGACATTGTTTGCTTGAGGGACCACATAAAAATATATTTAATACTTCAGGGACTAAAATGATGTAATTAAAAAATTGATGACCAAAATGAGACAAATTCCATAATTTGGGGACCTCCAATGCAATTAATCATAAGATTTTACTATGTTTCTTTTTTCGAGGTAGAGTTGATAATTGAGTCGAATTATTCAGTCTTACTTCAGATAGAATTCAATTCTAAATAAGTCGAACTTGAATAATTTTTTAAGTTTATTTTTAGTTCGATTCATTTATATGTAAAATAATCGAGTTACTCAAATTTGGCTCGAGTTCGACTAATTTTGGGCTCAACTTAAGCTCGACTTATTTTCTAAACAAGTCGAGCTTGAATATTTTTTTAAGCTCCTTTAAAAACATTAATAAGCTCGACAGGTTCGAATTAAGTTCTCAAAATTCAGCTCGATTATCGGCCTGAGAGTGAGATTAATTAGTGCTATTAGTCAGGTTCTACTCGGTAGAAAGAACAAAAAATTAAAATAGGAAAAATATTAATTCACCGTCATGTTGATTATTGACTTCTAATTTAGGTTTGGTAATTGTACTGAAAAATAATTTTTTTTATATTATATCATTTCTTCTCATCAATACAATTTTGAGGCGTATAATTTTTTATTATTTTATTTTTATTTTATAATAATTACCATCTAACCAAATTAAGATTCATGGGTGTTGTTTAATTTTGATAAAATAAAATCTTTGATAAATGTTATATGAACTTAAAAAATAAACTTAAAAAATAGATTTGACAATTATAACTGTTGATTTCAGTGTGAGTTTTAATTTTTATTAATGTTTCGTTTGGTACGATGAAAAAGTAGGAGGATGAAAAGTTGAAGAGATATATAAAATATTATGTTTGGTAAGGAAGGAAAAGAGGAATAATAGAAAAGTGGATGAATTAATTTTCCTTCCAACTCACCAAAATCAACCCCTCCAAAATCGGAAGGAAAGTGGATGAAAAATTAATTATTTGTATTAAAATGTATCTTATTTATCTATATATATTATATATACATTAATTTCATATATAAATACAATGGTAATATATATATATAAATTAAAAAAATTAAAAATATAAATTAAAAAAAATATTTTTGTCCATCTTAATTAAGGGTGAAAATTTTCAACTCAACACGATGACAAGAATCGAACTCGATACAAAAATAAATAAGTCAACTCGCAACTCAACACGACACAATTAGTTAAATGAGTTAATTTAGGTTTGACTAATATTCGACATAAACTCGTAATGACTTAACACGAATCTGACGCGACACGACTCGACTCTATTGTCATCCCTAATTTTAGTCAGCACAAAAAAAAAATAGTAATTTTTATTTTCCATCTATCCAACCAAACACAAAGGCAAGAAAGTGTATCCTTATTATTTTTCATCCTTGAAGGATAGAAAGTGTATCACTCTTACTTTTCATCATTCCTACTTTTCATCCTTCCTACCAAATAGAGCATAAAATCCATTACTTTTTAATATTTATAATTATTAAAATTATTTTTTAAGTGTTAATAGCATTACTCAAAATCTTTTATTGGGTAACACTAGAAGATGTACCATATCACTTAGCAGTTAATAACAAATACCAAAACACACAGAAATAGAGAAAATGAGGTAAAGATACGGCTTATGACATCTCCAATCATGTTATTTAAACGGCTTATGACATCTCCAATCATGTTATTTAAAATAGTTACTCAAACGATGTCACTGCCTCTTCAAACACCACCCGCCACCGCCTCTTCCAACGCTTCCAACAAAGATATACCTCATATAATTAAGAATGTATCTATATGACTGACTATTTTCTAAATATTAAACAAATAAAAGAGTATGGTTGTTGGGTTGAACTTCTGTGGAGCTTTGTGCAATCTGCGATGATGAATTTCTGTGGAACCTTCTGCAGTGATAATTTTGTCACAAATTCAGCGATTTTAAAGTTTATGTTGAGGAAATACCTGGCCTATTTCAATCGCCAGATCCGGTGAACCAATATTGACTTATGAATAATACCAATTGAGATATCCTCCGTTAGAGTCAAAATTTGTGCACCGACTATTTAAATTAGCTAAAAAAAACCTCTTTTACATAGTCCGCTGGAGATGCATTTATGCAAGTATGGAGTTGGCAGAAAGGTGAAGACATTGCCTAGGGAAAGCATGGAGTTGACATAAGTGCAGAAGCATTTAGAGAGAGAGAGAGAGAGAGAGAGAGAATGGGTTGGTCCACAGTAGAGCACTTGTCTTGTCGCGCTCTCTCTCTCTCTCTCTCTCTCTCTCTTGTTTTCTACGGATTATAGCTTCTTTTTTTTTAACAGTGATGTACATAGATATAAAAGCCTGCTTTGTGGTCTCTAATGGAGTCGTTATCTGAGATATAGCTTTCTCTTATATTAACAACTACAGATTAATTGAACTATTACTGGAGGGTAACAAGAGCTGGGCTATGTCAAATCTCACAGAATCAAATCACACGCTCTCTGCATCGGTTGGGAAAACAGGCAAGATTAAAAATAGAAAGGACCAATAATGAAGGGGATGGGACCGAGTGGCAGGGCGTGGTAGAGGACGAACATGACATTGTCGGTTTGTTTCTTATGCTCAGTTGTTAATCTCATCACTTGTTTCCCACTTTATCTCATCCCATCTTAATACCTTAGCTTCATCACAAGCAACCAAACTGTCCCTTGTCTTGTTGGTTTCATAGTTGTCCTGCTGGAACCACCGAAGCACGTACACCCTAAACCCCTCCACCCCCTCTCTCTCCTCAAATTACAGAAACTCATTACAGAAACCCATTAGAGAGGTTTAAGCGGTTATTTGTTTAAGGCGGTGCTGTCGCTGTTGCTTCTACTAGGGTAGAGATAGGACCTATTTTTGCATCTTTCTGCTGTTCAAGATTGAAAGGATGATTTTACCTTATTTGTCCCCCATTTTTCTTTATTGCTATAAAACTTAAAGGTTCTTCTCTCTCTCTCCCCCTGAGATATTTCATAGTTATTAGGTTTGGTATTCCGAGTCTGAAAATTGTAGGTGAGTGTGTCGGTGGGTTTAACTTTTAACACCCAAAAGCTGAATACTGAGAGGAAGAGTTAAATTTGAGGAAGACAAATGAGAGATTTGCTTCCATGGTTTATTGCTTTTTCAACTTACTTTGCTACAGCGGACCGATAGCGCTTACCAGGGTGCCACGATTTGTGGGCTTAAAGAACTTAGCGCTGTGACAAGTGATATTAGGGGCCGAAGGTTAGGCCAAGCCATGGCTAGTGGGAAAAACTCGCAGGCTAGTGCTGTTGAAGAGGCTCGATCGGGAGCGGACTCGTGATCGTGTGTATCCTTCTTACACAACTAAAAGGACAGATTTTGAGCAAAGGGTTTCTTCTATGGAGAAAGATGGGCTGGTTACGCGGACCATGATAGAAGGCCAAGAAGAAGGAATCGTGAAAATATTTCGAGTTTGACTAATATAGAGGTGACAAGCTTTAGAGATTCAGGGTGAGGTATGCTTCAAAATCGCTTCTTGCACATATATACATATATAGTTTTTTAAAAAAAATTGAATCATTTCTTAATTTGTGTGTATCATCCTTACTCAAGAATCCTGCTAATTTTCTCGTATCTTTTCAATTTGATTGGAGGTCTCCGAAGCGACTCTTATTGCACATTTAGATATGTCAATGACGGGTGAAAACGGGGAAATCAGAATGTCATGCTCTTTGGATTATAGCTCTCTTGAAACCCTAGATCATGGTCGTCATCTTCCACAGCGAGATTACCAGCAAGAACCACCAAGTTCAAACCCAGAACGGTTCTCCGATGCCGGAATTATCAAGAGTGCAACAAATGCACCCATTTCAGGCGGATCTAAACCAAAAACACCATCAACACCGCCCAGTAGGTACCGGCAATGCCTCAAGAACCACGCCGCGAGCATGGGCGGCAACGTCACCGACGGCTGCGGAGAGTTCATGCCGAGCGGCGACGAAGGAACGGTGGAAGCTTTGAAGTGCGCCGCCTGTAACTGCCACCGCAACTTCCACCGTAAATTAGGCAACTGCGACACCGTTTTGGTGCATCCACTTCCGCTACCTCCACCATTGACAAGGAGTACAATACCAACACTCACCCATAGTAACCACTGGAATTCTTCCATAGTTCAACCTGTGAAAATTGCATTTGGTGATGGAACTGTAAGTGTAGCCACCGACTCATCAAGTGATGGTCAAGAGCTCAATTTCAATGCGTTTCAGTCAAATTCAGCGCTGCCGCAACCACCACCACAGCCACCATTTGGGTTGGCGAAGAAGCGGTCTCGGACGAAGTTTACAAGGGATCAGAAAGATAAAATGATGGAGTTTGCAGAGAAGGTTGGGTGGAGGATTCCAAAGGAAAGTGACGCAGAAGCCCAGAGGTTTTGTGCTGAAATTGGGGTGAAGAGACAGGTTCTGAAGGTTTGGATGCACAATAATAAGAACCATGGAAAGAAACAGCCTCAAGAACCATAGAAACTTCAAAAACAGTTGGGAGAGATGGATCATATCAATGATCAGGTGTATTATTTGTAGTTTAGCCAGAGTGGGGAGTGAAGAGAGAGAATGAAGATGGATTGTAGAACTCGAAACTGAAAATCTTTTGGTCTGATTTATTTATGTTTGAATTTTAAGCTTGTTCTTGGTAAACTTAGATTTGATTTCCTAACGAGTTTGATTGGTATTTTTACATTTTTAGGTTGAAAGAATATCTTTGGTTCTTGAGCTATTAATATCGGATGCAGACGGAAATGACTTATAAAGTTAGATGTTCTTACTTTAAATCTTATAAACTCTTTGAACAAAAACATGAAAAATTTATTTTTTATAAATATCTTAATTCTGATATGAATATTATCTTTGATCAAATAAGAGAAGAGAACAATCGAAATACGCATAAATTAAATTAAACTGGATATCACTAACCATTGAAAAAAAATGAGTTGCCAACTTGTGCAAAAACATAAAAAAAAAAAAAAATCACCACTTCTTGTTCATGTTCAGGACAATTCTCGTAATTGCAAATTCCATATGAAATTAATATAGAAGTAATAGAGTTAGATAGCCTTAAAGTGTGGGAATGATAACCGAGTAAGACCAACTCCAACGGGGGGGGGG